CCTTCAACCGACGTGACCCCTATTGCTGGCCGATGGATGCCTTTTGTTTTCAGAACATGTGCTTATTCCAAAGAAGTTACAACCAGCCGTCCTGAATCAATTCCATATACGGCACCCGGGAACAAACAGGATGAATGCCCTTGCTCGGAGTTATGTCTACTGGCCTTTGGTGGACTCCCAGATCAAGCAGCTCTCAAGATCTTGCCTGCGGGGTGCTGAAGCATCCGAGTCACCGGTGAAAACCTACCTATGCTCGTGGCCGCAGCCGACCGAACCCTGGTCTCGTCTTCACATCGATTATGCAGGTCAAGTTGGTGGCCAACACTTTTTGGTCGTGGTCGACGCTTACAGCAAATGGCCGGAAATTTTTCCGGTGAAGAGCCACACAACTGCCATTACAGTCCTGGAACTCCGGTGTTGGTCAGCCGTTTTGGGACGCCAGAGAAAATTGTATCCGACAACGACATTCAATTTACGTCGTCGGCTTTCGCACACTATTGTCGGGAGTATAGCATAATGCGTATACGCTCGCTGCTGTTTCATCCAGAGTCGAACGGCCAAGCGGAACGCTTTGTTGACACTTTCAAGCGGGCACTTCAGAAGTCCGGGGGGGACCAACGGAAGAGATTTTGCAAAGGTTCCTGCTGGCATATCGAGCGACCCAAAACATCCAACGATGGCGAATTTAGTTGTCACCTGTTTCTTTTGACAAAACCTATAGATGAAGCCTAAAAACACCGCTACTGACACGCTCTTTCGGAGAGTTTGTGCGAACACTCCACCACCACTGGGTCTAAACCGCCTACACGCAACCCTGTGCTCCCTGAGCAACACGCATGATGCATTTTTTCGTGTCGAAAATCTCCCACTCTCTCTAGAGTACAACCGACTTGTCATTAAACAGTGTCATGGGTGTGCGGAATTAATACCACGTTTCTCCAAGCAGTCTGGTGGCTCACTCATTTAAGCCACAGTAAAGCCTGAACGTCATGGCATTTACGTAAAGGGATCACCAACTTTGGTGACTCGAAATAAATATCTACTTGCGGTCGTAGATGAGTACCCTTGCTTCCTGTTTGCCTGTGCATATTCAGATATAAGGTCGTTTTGCGTGATATCGTGCCTCGATAAATTTTGCCTGCCGACTTTCAAGCATTCAAATCGAGATTCATCATTCCTTTTCGGATGGGACTGAGCAATCTATTCATGCTAAGGACATGGCAACTGATCGGACCACTCCATATAACACGAGGGGTCAGATGAAACGGTTAAATGGAATTTAGTACGACGCTAGTATGCCTTCATTACTGTCAAAGGGCCTTCAAATCAGTCACTGAGACGCCGTTTTACGGGACACGCTTCATTCGCATCGTTCCTCGTACGCTTCCACCAATGCAATTCCACACGAGCGGATATTTCATTATTATCGCAAATACGCATTCTGTTCATCATTACCACAGTTGCAGCCTTGACGATGCGGCGAAATAAACTATCTTTTAAGTCTTGCCCCGTGGTCTAATACTTTGAGCTTCTGAAGCTCAAATCTGAGTAAGGATGTGTCCGACACCCAAGCGGACTAAAAAAACTGTAGCTGTCTGAGGAGATATCACTAGTTCAAATAAATGCATCCAACTCGCAAAAACGGCCGCAGGCTATCGACACGCCGAAATTGAGTTCGCCGAAACTAACGTGTATCAATATTTGTTTCGGCCAAACTGCGGTTTCAGAGAAAATTGTGGTGTGCTTCTAAGGATTAGCAGCGGGATCGCAAGAGGATTCTCAATATTAGAGGGCGCGTTTTTATTAGAGAGAAATTTTCCTTACTTCAGATACCTCTTGCATGGACTAACCTTACTCCGTCAGTTGACCAAGCTGTATCTATGGTCCAGTTCAGATCACTTTCAGCTGGGTGGAACCAGTTAAGCAAAAAGAATAGAGCTCAACCGGGGGCTTTTGCAAAACGTCAATCCGATACATCAATCCGTTGATGCGTAAATTGGCCAGTTGGGCCAATGGATCTACTAGTTGTTTTAACACACTGCCAGTTGAGCGTTCATTTTGCTTTCAAGGTCTCCCATTTTTGGCGCGTGGTCGTTCCAGCGAAATGTCCGCCTCGTTAGCTCGTCAGTTTTTCCATGTCGAATGTGAAGCTGGAATTAATAAACAGATCAACATGGAGCTGCATGCTAGCTATGTTTACATGGCGATGGCTCACCACTTTTCCAGAGATGATGTTGCGTTGCCAGGATTTCACAAATTCTTCATGAAACAGTCTGACGAAGAGCGAGAACATGCTCAAAAGGTTGGCGCCTGTGACTTCTGTTTCCAATGTTTTAGTTGATGAAATACCAAAACATGAGAGGTGGACGCATCGTCCTTCAAAATATTGCCCCACCGGAGACCACGTCGTGGACCAGCGGCTTGGAAGCTATGGAGGCGGCGCTCGAGCTCGAGAAAAGTGTAAACAAAAGCCTCTTAGAACTACACGCAGTCTCTGGGACGCATGGTGATCCCCAGTTCGCGGACTTTCTTGAGGGTGAGTCCGACTATTTGGAACTGGAGAGCACTCGTGCTCTGTGACTGTTGATAACGGTTGATGAAGTGTTCTACATATCCGTGTGTTTATATATGCCGAACAGAAGAGACAATGCACGAGTCTTCAAGGTTCATGTCGCGTTGACCAATTTTAGACAGTTGCGATGGCGCATGCTTGGATCTTACTAGACAGCACATTGCGTGGAAGCCACCAACTGTGAAACGGGTGTGGGCTCAATAGGATCATGCAGAACTGTAATCTGGCACAGAGATTCAGTAGATTGTGATCATATTTTAGGTGCTCAACCTGACTCTCACCATAGCGATCTGCGGCACGCGTAGCAAACCGCTTCTTCCGCTCCAAAGGAGGTCAAGCTAGAGACCTTAGAGGCAAGTCAGAACATATTGTGACCTACGTAAGACAGGGATAGCAACGGCTTCGGATTTGAGAAAATTCATCCCAAGGATGTAGACATAGAAATGGTGAAGGTGCTTTCTGGTGATGTACCGCAGGATGAGGTTAACGAAGTTCCCAACGAAGTAGCTGAAGAATTAACAGATTTAGAGGGGCCGGTGCAGAACCTGATATGGAAGAAATTTGTCACGATACTAAAGACAGCGAAGGAGTTGCAAATGATAGTTGAACCACTAGATCCGTGTATGGGTCTGCACCTCAAGGTGATTGATGGTATCGATGATGCCGTCCAAACTTGTATAATCCTCCTTACGAACAACAGCAGCTTTTAACGAAAATGTTCCTCCACTAGATAAAGATAGATCAGCGGAGACCACAACAGAAAATGACCCTTTATGGATATAGTGAATAGATACCACAGCTTACCTTCAATGAGCCGGGTCCTCAAATTTCTCGAATATCACATAATAAGAGGTATTCTGTTCGTCACTTCAATTGTGATTCTTTCAAGCGCCCGAGAAAAATTTCCTCGATCTGGAAAACATCTGATGGGAAACATGTGTGGATGAATTTCAGAGTAAAACTACTACGATTTTACTAAATTGTGATGGTTATTTTCGAACGTGTCAAACTGGTTTTAATGTGTCCGTCACGAAGAGACTGGAACTTACCGTGGTGTGGCGGTTTGTATACCTCGGAGATCCATTGAGCTATACTGGGGGGTGTCCGCGCGACACTCACAGTCTCATACCAGGTTGGTCAATGGTTAGAGGTCTGACGAATACAGTCTCCTGGCCTTGCAGGTTGTGGGTTGGAACATCTGTGGCGGCTTGTTCCGCAGAAAAGGTAATGCATCTGCATTTCCCCGCCAAATACCGCTGCCTTGCGGTTAGGCTTTTGACCTAAAGGCTTTGGTTGAGGACCCTAATCATCCTCCTGTCTAG